AACAATATATCATTTACAGCGAGTGAAAATCAACTGGAGAAAATGGCTGCCCCTTCCCTCCAGACCGGTACCTCAGAAATTTCTCTGATTCTGAGTCTCCTCTCCTCCAGTCTCTCCTGGCAGAGCTTCCACAGGTGGCGGCAGAGGTGGCACTGGAGATGGCGGACCCTGTGTGTGTCCCACAGCAGAGGGACAGAGCGGTGAACACCCAAAGCCTCCAAAATACAAGAATTAAGCATGTGTGTGTGTGTGTGTGTGTGTGTACCGGGTGCCTGTTGCAAGCGGGCTGCAGAGCCTTCTGTGAGGGGAGCTGAGGGGCCACCCTGTGTGGGGCACAGCTGGTTCCCGCCATTTCCAGCCATGTTGTGAGGGGGCAGAGGATCCCGGCGGTAAGGAGTGAAGCTGAGCTGGGGTGAGGGGTTGGGGGGCGGGGGGGGGCTGTCCTGGCTTGAGGTAAAAAACCCCAAACAGAACCAAGTTTATCTTCAGGAATTTGACTTTTCAGCTAAGCCTCTTCTGACTCACTGAACTCTCTGAAATTAATAGTGTGTTTTTATGACAGCGGCCTGCTCCCAGAGTGATAAGACCTGAGTGTTTATGATTTGTGCCAAGGGAGGCTCTTTGCTTGTACTTACTGCTCCAACACCCAAAGGCAGCTAACGTGGCTATTTGGCCCCTTGGAGGGTCAGAAGAGGAAAAGCGTAGAGGGGTCCCACCTGTGGGGAGAAGAGGACGGGATGGGTGACCCAAAACTTACCAACAGGGTATTCCATCCCATCTGCCTCACGCTCAGTATAAAAGCTGAGGGATCAAAGGGGGCAGTCTCTTTCTTCCATGGCCGACGTGCGAAGAGGACTCTGTCTGTTCATCTGCCTTTGATCCCAATCCAGAATCCAGTTCCCGTCAGTCACGGAGTCCAGTCTGGGTCTTCCCCAGTGCCAGATCATCATCCTGGGAGCTTGATGTGGTTTTGTAAATATATTGTATACATTTTGTTATTTTCTTTTTATTATTTTACTAATATTTTCGTTAAAGTAGTTTAGTTTCTTTTTAAACTCCTAAGTCTGTTTCTCTCTCTGCCTGCTCCCCCTTAGGAAGAGGTGGAGGAGAACATCCGTCATTCATTTCAGTGGCCGGTCCAACCCAATCCACGACAGGAGCAAAGGTCAGATTTTAATTCTCTCTCACTACCCAAATCTATTTTCATTGCCAATACATTATTTTTCCCCAAGTCAACTCTGTTTTGCCCATGGCAGTAATTGGTAAGGGATCTCCTGTGCAAAGGGAAACTAGGGACACACCAGTTTTAAACAGAGCTGAGGACTTCTGTCGTGTTCTGAGGGTCTGCCGTAATACATCAACCTCCATCCCTCAAACCTGTCCCTGTCAGAGGAAAGGACTCATTACAAAGCGTTCCTCACTGGTGTTTGTCTCCCCAGTTCTCCCCTTTCTCTCCCATCCTTTAAGAGGCAAAAGGAAATAGGAACTTTTCCATGCCCAGGTCTGTACTTTTCTGGTAATGGCTGTCCCTGTCCAGGTCCCAGCTTGGAGCTGCCACATCCCAATGGGTGTGGGAAAAATAAGGAGTGAGACCATGACCAAGGGACCTTCTGGTGAAAGATACAGGAACAGAACAGATTTTCCCCACAATTTCCATGTGAATGTTTTCTGATTTACAGTCAGTCACTTGGAAGACTAATATTTCCCATCTGCACAATGGGTGGAATTAGTCCCCTTGGGATCTGTTGGGACCTTTCACAAAGAAGCTGTCTTTGCATCACCTCAAACCGAAGGAGGAATGAGCTTATAAAGTCCAATTTTTTCTGAACACAGACCGAGTTTTAGAGCACTCAGTGACGCTCATGACTTCTCATCTTCTCTGAGTAGAGGAAATGACTAATGGCAAGAAACTTTGGAAGATAAGCAGTATAGAAAACATCCTTTTTCTCTGACAGATGTTCCTATTTTATATAGATTGTTCCTGTCCTGGTAATTATATTAATATTAGCACCTACTTAATTGTTTTGGGCTTATTGTTCTCTGCTTTTAATTGATTAATTTCATGCATATTTGGCAATATGACTTCCTCCATCTTAAAATACATCTTTTTATCCCAGTCCATTTTGCCTATTCCAGAGCTTCCTTAGGATGTGTTTCTGTCATAGCTGTGCTTTGGATTAGAACAGCAATATACGCATCAGCCATTTTATGGGAAGTTTCTGACAAAAAGAAGGGATCTGAGAAGAACCAGGAACCCTCATTGCACAATATGTGGTATTGGAAATAATACTTGAAATACAAAGACAGCACCAAGTATAAGGCAAATCATAATGAAAATAGACAAAGGGGGAAATTAAGAGAGAAAACAGGGACTGGACCAGAGAAATACTCTTTTATTTAAGACAAGGAAGAACCTTCAAGTCGGTGTGTACTGAAAAAGGATAGAAAAGCCAAGGGGTTTTTTAGAACAGCTAATTCCAGCTGTTAGTCTGGTATTTCACAGCTGCACTTGCTCTTTGGCAGGTGAATGACAGGTTCTCCAATGATTCCAGGGGGAGCAGGACATACCCATGTGTGACTCACTCAAATACACATGAGGATTTAGTGCTCTAGGGGTATCCTTCTTCATCTGTCCTGTCCAAGCAAATTCTTTGTCATGCAAACACTTTATACTATCTGTGTTCCCCAATTCCACCTGTACCTATAGCCATCCAGGTACATCTCTTGGGGGTGACAAGCATAGGCAGTAACTCCCAAGAAGAGATGTTCAAAAGATGGAAAACACATGGAAGGGGGGGAGAAAATAAGCAATGAAAATGGCAGTCCCTGTGAGGCTAAAGGATGAGATTGTGCAACAGGAACCACTTGTAGATAAAAGCACATTTGCAGCACTATGTACAGCACAAACTGTAATCTCAGAGGAGACACATGCGTGTTAGGGATGTGATTAGAGGCAGTGGGCAAAGGCCTCGTGCTGTTCTCTATCGGAACACTGGTGATTTCTCACGGCAAGTTGAGGCAAGGCCAGTGCTCTGCTCTGCTCCTTGGCTGCTGCTGAGGGGACGCTGTTGGCACCCCAGCTGCAGGGAGTGGGTGTAGAGGAGACCCGGGGGGAGCAGAGGAAGGGATGCGCATGACAGGGATTGGTTCTGCACCTGAGGAATGACGGGAAGAAGAAGGAGCATTAAGGCCATGGGACCGTCAGGGACTTCTGAGGGGTTTCTGCTGGTTCATCCCCAATGTTGATGGTCCCTGGCTCATCTCACTCATTCTCATCTTTCTGCCTCCATCTTGCCCTGCCCAATCACTTCCCCACCACTGCCTCGGCGATGCAGGCCGTAAGGAGAGAGAAGGAACAGCAGGGAGCTAGGGCAAGTCTTCCACCACCCCCAGCTGTGCAGAGCAACACCTGGGAGACCCCAGCATGGTGAGCTGAACCTTGAGAACTGGGGTGTAGAGATCCTGACCAGAGGACTGTTATACATCAGGGAGTTAGTGATCCACAAATCTCTCAACTTGCGGAGTCCCAGGCCTGTGCTGTGCCACGCCGTGCTGTGCCGTGCTGTGCATCGCCCTTGGCCATGGGATAAACCTGGTCGGTTGACAGTAAGAGAGGAGCCTGCGGGCAGCTGCCACTGGGTGCTGGTGATTACACCACCTGCGTGTCCTTGCCTTTATCTGAGACTGCTGCAGTGGTTCTCATGTGAACATCCTTTTTGATTGGCAGTAGAATGCGTTGTTTCCTTTTTTAAGAAAATCCTGTAATACCTCAAAAGGCCGTTCTGGGGTAAACTCTGCATGGACAGGATCTGCCCCGATCAGAGGTCTGTTTGATGCTGCAAGACCTGGGGTTGTCAGCACCTGAAGGGACATAAGATTATCTGTGCTACCTTCTCCTTCTTCCTAGTTTCAGATGTAGTCAATGGTGTTTAAAATGATACTTGACGGAGTCTGCTTGACTTTCTTAACGGCATCATAAGGCATCAGCATGTCCTGTTGAAAAATAGGGGGGAGGAGGGGAAGGCAGTGACTTGGCCAACTCCTACTGACAAGATC